GCAATCCACAACGATATTTAAATTTCTGTGTAAAAGCATACAATCAATTTGAAAGAAAATTATGATCTCTTTATGGTTTTGGATTTTGAAAACAATCCTAATGATGCAAGGACACCCTAGCATTCCTATTGGACCCAGAGAAAACATTTGGGTAACGTTTGCCAACCAAACGGGTCAAATGGATTTTTGTCTGAGTATGGTCAAAGCATCTGATCCCTTTCAAACATGTTTGATTGGCATCCCTTACCTTGATACGAGTGATTTTAGAGGATGGGTTAATTCTAATCCTACCAAAATTGAGGTGGAACGTGCATGTAATGTAACCAAAGAATGCACAAATGGCACCAAAGGCATGACGTCTCTTTTGTTGGTAGCTAATCTAAACAGGACAATGATAGACAGTCCTAGTGAGTTACAAGTATTTGGAGCTGTGTATGGAAATGACTCTTGTTTTAGACTCAATATGAAAAAGGAAAAGATCTTTTTACAATGGCAGCGAACGATTGGAAATGTATCCACCACGAACATAACAGCACAAAATCCTCCATATGACAATATGACCTGGTGCCAAGGCTACGTCAGAAATGTGTCAGTCAGTGTGATGAAGCCAAAATATTTACCACCTGGTTATTTCTTGATTTGTGGAAATAGAGCATGGTCTGGCATTCCTAGGCATCCCATTGGTGGACCATGTTACTTGGGAAAATTGACAATGTTTACACCTCATCATGGCTAGGCTTCGCGAACGAAGATTTGGGAAGGGCTCTACCCACTTTTCTTGCAAGCGCGTTGGTGGCTAAAAAGGCCAATACGAGAAAGGCAAGTCCGGTTGCAAAAGACACAGCAGAAAGACTCCTTAGAGGGTATATTCTGCAAGGCTCGATTCTTTCTGCGTTGTCTTTTCTCCTCAAGGGTGAATCTGCGTGCTTTCTCAAAAGCATCAGCAGCGTTATAAATGGTGTGTCTCCAGGCCTCCCGATTAGAGGCCAGAGTGGACCAGTTATGGTGATCAATATGCCCGAGGCTGAGTTGTTGCTTCAGGGAGTCCTTGTATCTTTTCTTCGGCGCTCCTCTCTTGCGGCAGCCGGAGGCAAGTTCACCATAGAGCAGGATCTTAGGGAGGCGGTGGTCCTTCATCCTGGAGACGTGCCCTGCCCATCGCAGTTGCGTTCTCAGTAACATGGCCTCAATACTTGTAATTGCTGCCTGTTCGAGAACAGATGTATTGGTCACATAGTCTGACCAGTGGATGTTAAGGATTGTACGGAGGCAGCGTTGATGGAAGCGTTCTAGGAGATGCAGGTGGTGGCGGTAGATGACCCATGTTTCGGAACCATATAAAAGAGTAGACAGCACTATGGCTCTGTAAACACTGATCTTGGTACTTTTCTTCAAGTGTTTATTACGCCATACTCGTTTATGGAGTTTTCCAAAAGCACTATATGCCTTCGCTAACCTATTGTCTATCTCCCCATCAATCTTACCATCCGAGGAGATGAGGCTGCCTAGGTAATTAAACTGTTGGACTGATTTGAGTTCTGATTGGCCGATGGTGATGTGGGGATGATGGAAGACTTCCTGAGGTGCAGGCTGATGGAGAACTTCTGTCTTCTTTAAGCTGACTTCCAGCCCAAAGAGCTCAGCAGCATCTGCAAAGCAGGATGTTAAACGCTGCAGAGCTGCTTCTGTGTGGGCAACAAGGGCAGCGTCATCAGCATAGAGCAGCTCCCGGACAAGATGGTTTAGGGTCTTAGTATGGGCCTTCAGTCGCCTTAGGTTGAATAGCCTTCCATCAGTACGATATCGAATGTAGATACCGTCCTGATCATCGAGGTCTGCCGTGGCCCTTTGGAGCATCATACTGAAAAAGACTGTGAATAGGGTAGGAGCGAGAACGCAGCCTTGTTTCACACCATTCTTTATTAGAAAGGGCTCAGAAAGTGTGTTGCCATATCTGACTTGGCCGTGCAGATCCTCATGAAGTGAGATGATCATTTTAAGGAACTTGGGGGGACAACCTAAACGTTCCAAAATCTGCCACAGACCTTTTCTGCTCACAGTATCGAAAGCCTTGGTGAGGTCGACAAAGGTTACATAGAGACCTTTGTTCTGTTCCCTACACTTTTCTTGCAGTTGTCTGAGAACAAATATCATGTCTGTGGTGCTCCTGTTGGCTCTGAAGCCACACTGACTTTCAGGTAGAATTTCTTCTGCTATAGCGGGTATTAGTCTGTTCAGAAGTATTCTTGCCAAGATTTTGCCAGCAATGGAGAGCAGAGTAATACCACGGTAATTTGAGCAGTCTGATTTAGTACCTTTCTTCTTATACAAGGTGATGATGACTGCATCACGAAGGTCTGATGGTAGTTCGCCTAGTTCCCAACAGCGCACCACGAGCTCATGAAATTTAGCATGGAGTGCAAGGCCCCCATGTTTCCAGACTTCAGGTGGGATTCCATCAACCCCAGCTGCCTTGCCGATTTTCACCTGCTGTATGGCCTTGAGGGTTTCTCCTAAAGTGGGGGCAGTATCCAATTCGTATTTCACCGGTTGTTGTGTGATGGACTGAATTGCTGAGTCTTGTACTACACGGTTGGTACTGAAAAGAGTCTGAAAGTGTTCAGACCATCTATTCAGGATGGAGGTTTGATCTGTCAGAAGCGTTTGACCACCTGCACTGAGTAGTGGGCTTTGGACTTGGTATGTAGGCCCATATGCTGTTTTCAGGGCCTCATAGAATCCTTTGTGATCCCCTGTATCTGCACATAGTTGAGTTTTTGCAGCTAGATCGGTCCACCACTTGTTCTGGATGTCACGGAGTTTCTGTTGGAGCTTGCTGCATGCAAGACGAAAGGCTGTTTTTCTTGCGTGACAGGATGGCAGTGCAAGGTGTGCTTGGTGGGCGGTTCTCTTCTTCCTCAACAATTCCTGGATTTCTTGATTATTTTCATCAAACCAGTCCTTGTTCTTCTTGAGGGAGAACCCTAAGGATTCTTCAGAGGATTGCAGGATGCTACTTTTAATATGCTGCCAAATTGTTTCAGGAGAGGAATCTGCAGAATCTGTGGAATGGTTATCAAGCTTAGTTTGAAGGTTTGCCTGGAATCTTTCTCTTACTGTGGCTGATTGGAGATCGTTAACTTGGAGTCTTCTCCTTGGGATACTGCCCCTTTTGGGTTTGAATTTGAGATAAAAGTTGAGTTTACAGCGCACAAGCCGATGGTCTGTTTGACATTCTGCGCTGTGCATCACGCGGGTATGGAGGACATCGTGGACATCTCTCCGTCGCACCAAGACATAATCAATGAGGTGCCAATGCTTAGACCTGGGGTGCATCCAGGTTGTCTTCAGACTATTTTTCTGCTGAAAGATAGTATTGGTGATGGTAAACTGTTGCTCCGCACAGAATTCTAGCAGAAGTCGACCATTATCGTTGCAGTTTCCAACACCATGCTTGCCTAATACTCCTTTCCAGCCTTCAAAGTTCTTACCTACTCTGGCGTTGAAATCACCAAGGATAATGATCTTATCATCTGTGGGCACCTTTTGGGTCCTATGGTTTTGACCTGTCTGGCATGGGCGACCCTACCGAAGGCATGAACCCTCGCCAGCATAGCTCGCAACCACATAGGGGTCGCAATGGATTTTTTAGGTGAGATGCAGTATGCGCGGAACTGAACCCACCCTTTAATCCTGAGGTTCATCTGCCAGGGCCGAGCAAGCTTGGACGGTGGCAGCGAGGTCCTCAGGACGTAGGTTTGATTAGAGTGACCTTCTCTTAGATGGATGGCCTTACAGGGCTAAGCGAGCTCCATCTGCCTGGGTTTGGGATGAGAGTTGTCCTTCTCCTAGGATGACTGCCAGAAGGCTAATGAGCTCATCCTGCCCAAGGATGTATGTTTACACCTACTATGAGACAAATAACGCAACTGAAAAGGAAAAATGTTCGGAACAAACGAGAAACTGAATTTGATAGATACTGCAAATCAGTAGAAAACCAACCCATTAAATTTTGGACACCTACGGTAAACTTCTTTGCATCCATATTTGCCCCCATTGGAGCAAAAAAGGGCCTGGTTCTTGTCCAAAGAACAGCCTGTTGGGTAAGGAATCAAATGAATAGAACTTCGAAAATTCTAGGAGAATTGGCTCATGACTTTGATGAAATAAGACATGCTGTTTTACAAAACAGAGCAGCTATAGATTTTCTATTGCTGGCTCAGGGGCATGGATGTGAAGAATTTGAAGGCATGTGTTGCATGAATCTTTCTGATCACTCTCAGTCCATCTACCAAAAACTTAAAGAAATGCAAGGTCATCTGAATGACTTTGAAGTCCAAAAAGATCCTGTTAGGGAATGGTTAGTAAAATTAGGCTTAGGACCATGGCTCGCTGAGATCGCTAAACAAGCTATTTCACTTTTGCTAATATTGCTGGCTGCTTTATGCGTCGTTCCTTGTGTTTTCAAATGTATACAGAACATGCTAACGAAGGCAATGAATGATGTGTTTTTAACATTGTCAATAAGAAACGGGGGAAGTGTGGAAAATATTGCAGAAACATGGTTATTAGAGAGAGGGCATGAGAAAGATTCTATAGCTCTGGTCTCACGCTAAAGCAAGGAAAACAATTAGAAGGTCACTGTTCACTGTGTTTGTGAAACTGCATTGTCTAAGAAACTGTGAAGCTGCATTGTCTGATGTGAAGCTGCATTGTCTATGAAAATGCATACGTGATAGAAAAGGTAGTAGCAACAGGATGGGAAATGTAGAGAAAGTAGCAAAGTAGTAAATAAAGTAACTATAAGCATGAGAAAGAAGCAGCATTTGCGCAAATAAGATTTAGGTAATTGGAAGCCAATGATGAGCTAGTGCTTGCAATATGTATGAAGCTAATTAATAAGTATATAAAAACAGAAAGCTACAGTAATAAATCGGATTAGATGTAACACGAAAACTGTGTTCGTGTCATCTTTTCTCGTCGTCTACAACACACCCCCACCTCTTACCTCTGGGAAACATGAGTTGCATCCTCCTGGATCCTCCAGCTGGATGCTGCTGGCTCTGGGCAGCTCCCACCCTTCAGCAGGGGATGCCAAAGGGAGCTCTGGGGACTGTCCCGAGGGCAGGGGACACCCACTGTGGGTCACAGCAACACTGAGCCATCTCAGGCCTGGGCTCTTCTGCCTGCAGGGCAACAAACAGCCAAGCAGGGACACTGGGACACTGAAAGGAAACAGGGACAACAAACTCAGGAGCCTGGGACACCACAGCCCCCAAACCTGCCCAGGCTCCAGCTGCTGCACAGACCTGTGGCCACACAGGACCCAAACCCACCCCCAGCACAGACAACCCTGGGGAGGTCAAGCTGCTCATTCCCAACCACAACCAAACATCCAGTGCCACTGTCTGCCAGCCCCTGCTCCCAGGAATCAATCATCTTGCCCATTTCCTTTCTTTACAGGTCCTTGCATTCACGTTCTACTATCAAACCATGATTAGCAAATTTAGCTATTACTGCAACCAACCCAGCTTGGCTTCCTAATTTCAAAGGATAGTGGGTTTGCCTTACCAGTATAGACTCTGGCTTAGGGGTAAATCTTAGAGGTTCTGCCCTTGTCCATTTTCTCAGAATTCCACTGGCCCACACAACAGGAACAACTGCAGCTGCCACTTCAGTCGGGACCATACTGCTGACAGGAGTTATTCCCTGCACAACAAGAGATGCTGCTTGGACACATTTAATTTCAGCAATTACAGTGTCAATATCCCCAGTTTTCAATTTCATTTCTGCCACAACTTTTCCAGTCCATCTCTTCCTAGCACAGGTTTGGGTGAGTTTGGCAAATAAACAAACTGAGAAACTACCCAATGTTTTCCCAGTCTAACCCCTGTCACACCAATCACCTGAACAGTGCCAGTCCTTAATTCTCCCTCTATTGGGTTAAGGATCGAGGACAGTCTGAGCAGGACATGTGCAAACCAAATGGTGGGGACTGGAATACACACCTGGCACTCCTGGAGCTCTTACAGTTACATTCAAGAGAAAACAGCCAATTGTACCATCACTGCTCAGTTCTTAGTCCCAATCCCACACTGCTTTTGCAGTTGGAGCACCACTTCTATAACCCAGTTACAGTCCATTAGAGAGCTCCACGTCTAGCATGGACAGGTACACCTGGGATACTCTCAGGAATGCCTGAATCCATTGCAGGGACCTTGCTTTGAACTCCCCAGGGCCGGGCACCCAGAGGATCTCCCCGAATAATCCTTTCGGTGCGCGCTGGAGTCCTCAGGGTGCCCCAGCCCAGGGGGCACCAGCAGCACTGTCCCTCCAGGGGGGCCCAATTTGGTCCCAAAAGGGATTTCAAGAGTCCTTCTTTGGAACCCACCAATGTGTACGGGTAGGAAGCCACAAGAAGGCCTCATTTATAAACGCAGGGGGATCTTGCCTGTGTCCCAGACTGCTCCGGGGATCTGAGGCCCTTCCCGAGAAAATCTCGGTGCCGGCGTGAAGGCCCAGAGATCCCTTGGAGCCACGGGAGAGCAGGCACAGAGTCCCTGCTGGGGGCCAATTTTGCTGCCTGAAATCAGCTCTTCAAAGAAACCTCTAAAACTCAGTTGGTGAGTGTTAGAAGCCAGGCAGTCCTACACACTGTGAGATATTTTAAGAGCTTAGTGAGTGAAAAAACATAAAGCTTTTATGAGGGACATCTGACCTCCCACAGACAGCTCCTTTATCCTTTCAGTACAAAATTATTTTCATGGAATGATTTAATAGGAAGTGCCCAGGAGTCCCAGACTGTGCTTTCCAGAACAGAAAATAAACAGAGGGAAGGAGCTTTGCACAAGTGTAACATACTCCAGAACAGACCTGACTTTAGTTTTACTCTTTATGTTCAAATATAGCACAAGACAAAAACTCTACCAGGAGAGCTGGCACTTTACCCACGGTACCCTCAAAGTCCCTCTCACGAGGGCTGTAGGAAAATTGCAGTTGTACGAGTCCCTTGTGCCTGCAGATGCCTGGGGATCCTCTCCATCCACCTCGTGCTCTCCCAACAGCAGAAAGGGTGACCTCAGGGACACGGTGGCACTCGACATCCTGCTGAGAGAGCAAGGAAACCTTTAGCATAAAGGTGATGTGGAATCTAAAACTTCCTTTCCTGGGAGCTTTGTGAAGCCTGCGACCAAAGAGGGGGAAAATTTGCATCTCCTTTGGTGCAGGTGTCACAGAGGCTGACAGAACTTTCACCTTTTTCAGACAATTGTGCCCTTTTTGGCTCCCTGGCAGCTCCAATGGCACCAGAACCCCCTTCCTGCACACACACGGCTGTCACACACAGGCACCCACACACCTTTGCTCCAGCCCACACGTGGCCAAGATTTCCTCATCCTGTACATCCCAAGGGGATTATTTTTGCTAGAGAGCACAGCAACCCCTCTGTCCTTGCAAACTGCCTCCCTGAAAAAAAGGAATCATTTTTCCTGGACACTTCCCCCACACTCAAGGTCTTTTAAAACTGTTGTCATGCCACCAAACCTGCTCAGGGTCCCTCCCAGCTTCTGCCTGTCCTTGCATTTAAAGGCACGTGCATATTCTATCTTCCAGCAGCAAAACCCAGCTCCTCACTGGCAGTATAAGCCCTGCTCTTACCTGGACAATCTCCCAGGCTCGGCACAGCTGTGGTTCATGGAGCAGCTTCCCCAGGCCCTTCTCTCTCCCAGCAGGAAGCACAACTCACCTCCACTCCACCAGCACCAGGGGAAACCACGAGCCAGGCTGCAAATTGACACAGAACGAGCAAAAAGCATTAATGCAGCACCAAGAAACTAAGTGAGACCAGTCTTCACCCCATAACCCTGCACAGGGAAAGGCTTTGGGATTCCGAGGCAAACCCTGAGACACCCAGAGAGCACCAGCCCCGCAGCCCTGCCACGGCTCCCCCCGGGGTCACCCGGCAGATAACGGGCTTACCCGGCCCCCGCTGCCCAACACAATGCGCCCCTAAACGCCCCCCAGCTCCCCTAGTCCATAAACACAGCGGACAAGGCGCTCTCACCTCCGCAGCCCGGGCAGCAGCGGGGCCGCACCCTCACCCCTCACACACAACCAGCCGCACCTCCCCCGCCCAACCTTATATACCGCGGGCCGCAGACGCTGCCCAATCAGCACTCGAGCGCCTCCGCCCAATCCCAGCCCGCCTGTCCCTGCGGCCCCGCCCCGCCCGCCCTGCCCGCTCACCCCGGCCCCGCCCCTCGCGCGGCCCCGCCCCCCGCTCCCTCAGCGCGGCTCCCGCCGCCGCCGCAGCCCCGGCAGCGCTGCTGGGGCCGGGGAAGGGCGGGTGAGAGCTCCGCGGTCACGTCCCGTCCGGGAGCTCTCCCGGGACAAGGGGAGCGAGGCGGGGAGCGGGGACAGCGGCGTTCTTGGGGGCGGGCAGGGCGGGGCCGGCGCGAGCCGGGGGACGGGCCTGGGCGGCCCGAGGGGCGGGGCCGGCGCGGTCCCGCCGCGCTTCGCTCTGGGGTTGTTTCGGGCTGGTTTTGGGTGCGGGTTTTGGGGGACTGCGCACACCCTCCCCTGGTCACAGCCCCGCCCCAGCTCGCTGCACCCAGCTGCACTGCCCGTACCCCTTGCTCAGCTCCGCGGGGATTTGTGCTTCCTCTGAAGGTGGCAAGTGTCTGCAAAGCGAGTCGGGAAGCCAGAGCGCTGCAGCCCCCGGGCCCCGCCGCGGCTTCCCCGCCGTCACCCGGCACCTCCCGCACGTCCCGCCCCGCAGCGTCGCTCCCGCTGCCGCCCTCGAACACAAGGAACGAACGCCCCTGCCCCCAGCACAGGCCGGTCCCTCCCCGGCAGCCTCGGCAGCGCCGGGAGCGGCCGCAGCCCCCAACGACGGGCGGGGCGCGCTGGGAGGGGCCGCGCGGGGCGGGGGCGGGTCCCGCGGCTGCGACCCCGCGGGGAAGGGACCCCCGGGCCGGCCCCGTCCGGCACCGCCGCTGGCCCTGCTCGGCCACCTCCCCTCGCCTCGCCCACAGTTTTAACATTAGAGAGCCCAGATTTAATCCAGAGCGCCACAAGCTCCCAAGTGCAGGGGATTTCCAGAGACTTGTTATTTTTCTCTTTTTAATGACCACGTTGCTAAAGTCAGGGAAATACAATCAGCATTCCCTAAATACCATCACTTCTACATCCACCTGCGATCAGGGGCCGATGGGCAGCAGCCTGCCCTGGACGGGCTGCAGGGATGGTGTGAAGGCCACTGTTCCCCAGGTTGGAATGACTCTGGCCATGATCCCCGGCCCGTGGACAGAAAGCCCAGAGCCAACAGGAACTCCAGCCAGCTGCAGGCAGATGTTACTCCGTCCCAGTTTGCCAGCGGTGAGGACAAAGGTGCCCTTCCCCGTTCGGAAGTGGAAGTCGTCCCCTGTGCAGAGCCCACTCTGATCCTGGGCCTCGTGGGAGCCAATTCCCTTGTCACAGCCCACTTCCTGCAGAGAAGAAAGGGAAAGATTGCACATAAGGAAGACAATCTTCCCTGGGAGGGTGGGGAGGTGGCCTGGCAGCTGTGGCTGCCCCATCGCTGGAAGTGGCCAAGGGTCTATTGGAAGGTGTCCCTGCCCGTGGCAGGGGGTGGAAGGAGATGATCCCTGAGGTCCCTTCCAAATCAACTGCAGGATTCCAGGACGATTTCATGCTCTCTCCCTGCATTTGTTTTGCGTTGTTTCCTCTCAAATATAAAATCTCCAATTTAGTTGAGTGTTAAGACAATACTTTTAAAATCTTTCCAGGAAGAAGAAGGATGTGTTCTGTAACACATATAGAAATCATTCCCACACCCACCAAATCATTGTGAACTAGAACCCTATTCCCTCATCCCTGTCCTTGTTTTCCTTGGCTGGAAAACCTGATGATCCACACTGGCTATTTTTAGGGTGGTCCCCTTGAAACTTCTGCGCTTGACCCATTGCTAAGTGGAGAGCACAGGACAAGGGAAGGACAAATTTCTCAGCACCCACCACCTGGAATTTTCCTTCTCCGCAACACGTTCCTGTTCCTGCTGTCTCTGGAGGTGCCCGCACGAGTCCTCCTTGTCCCAGCCCTACCAAACTGACACACGCACAGGAGAAATAACAGGTCTTGCTTGCACAATTCCCGACCCGTGGAAGGTGGCCACCCACCACCCCCCCCCTGCCCCCGGCCGGTCGCCGCCACTGCCCTGCCCGGCGGCCCCGAGCGCTTCAGGCCCGGCCCGGCCAACGCCTCGCTCGCCACGGGCGCCGCTTCCGACCCCCCCCGACCCTGAGGCCTCGCAGTCGCCGCCTGGCGGACACGGCCGGGAGCGGCACTGCAGCCGCGCCCCCCCCTTGCAAGACCCGCGGCGCCTTTCGCAAGTCCGGGCCTTTCTTCCCTAAAACCTGCCCTTACCTAGGAAAAGCTGAGCAATTCACACAGTTGCTGTTTCCAGCCCAGCTTCCCAAAGGATTTCCCTCTCCCGGCAGCAGCAGCAACAGCAGCATCAGCAACGCTCCCCGGGAAGCTCTGACTGAGGCTGGGAATCGACACACAACAAGCCAAGAGCATTAACTCAGCCCCAAAACACTCGACAAGAAACCAATTTAGAGTCACCTTTGTGACCCAAATCTCCCAAAAAAATGACCAGAAAATGACCCAAATCAGCCCAAAAAATAACCCAAAACTGACTCAAATCTCCCCAAAAATGACCCAAAACTGACCCAAATCACCCCAAAAAATGACCAGAAACTGACCCAAATCTCCCCAAAAAATGACCCAAATCATCCCCAAAAATGACCCAAAACTAACCCAAATCACCCCAAAAAATTACCCCAAACACCCCAAAACCTGGCCCCAAGCCAGCCCTAATCACCCCAAAAACTGCAAAAAAACTCCTCCAATAACTGACTCAAATCACCCCAAAAACTGATCCAAAACTCACGCAAAAACTGGCCCAAATCACCCCAAAAACTGACCCAAAACTGACCCAAATCACCCCTAAAAATGACCCAAAACTGACCCCAAAAACTGACCCAAATCA